AAAATCTGCAATGAACCACGAGAAATTTGAACAAACATAAACCATGCTTAAAATCATTGAGCTGTCAATGACTCAACTGAAAGTAAACACGGAAGCAAAACATACGTCAGTATATATAGTACCGTAGCATGCATGTTATTCATTCGAGTACTGGCACTGTTCAGAATATACACAGGTAATGGACGTTCTTCTAAACATATCACCGATATGCCAATGAAGAAATTTACTTTATCATGAGGTTAGAGCTCACTAGTCAACAATTTGACTTTTTGGATATCACTTTGGAGTTTCCTTAATCGCCTCCTAGGCTTCCGAATTTAGGCCCTTGGCATCACTGACGAGTCCTACAAGAACGAAACAGCCTATGATATGACATAACTGACGATTCCTACAAGGACGAAACACTTGCATGATGTAGCATCACTGACGACTGTTAGAAGGACGACACAGATGTGTGATGTAACATCACTGACGTGTCCTAGAAGGACGAAACAGCTGTATGATGTAACATCACTGACAAGTCCTAGAAGGACGAAACAGCTGTATGATGTAACATCAATGACGAGTCCTAGAAGGACGAAACAGCTGTATGATGTATCATCACTGACGAGTCATAGAAGGACGAAACAGTTGTATGATGTAACATCAATGACGAGTCCTAGAAGGACGAAACAGCTGTATGATGTATCATCAATGTCGAGTCCTAGAAGGACGAAACAGCTGTATGATGTAACATCAATGACGAGTCCTAGAAGGACGAAACAGCTGTATGATGTATCATCAATGTCGAGTCCTAGAAGGACGAAACAGTTGTATGATGTAGCATCAATGTCGAGTCCTAGAAGGACGAAACAGCTGTATGATGTACCATCAATGTCGAGTCCTAGAAGGACGAAACAGCTGTATGATGTATCATCAATGTCGAGTCCTAGAAGGACGAAACAGTTGTATGATGTAGCATCAATGTCGAGTCCTAGAAGGACGAAACAGCTGTATGATGTACCATCAATGTCGAGTCCTAGAAGGACGAAACAGCTGTATGATGTACCATCAATGTCGAGTCCTAGAAGGACGAAACAGTTGTATGATGTACCATCAATGTCGAGTCCTAGAAGGACGAAACAGCTGTATGATGTACCATCAATGTCGAGTCCTAGAAGGACGAAACAGCTGTATGATGTACCATCAATGTCGAGTCCTAGAAGGACGAAACAGCTGTATGATGTACCATCAATGTCGAGTCCTAGAAGGACGAAACAGCTGTATGATGTACCATCAATGTCGAGTCCTAGAAGGACGAAACAGTTGTATGATGTACCATCAATGTCGAGTCCTAGAAGGACGAAACAGCTGTATGATGTACCATCAATGTCGAGTCCTAGAAGGACGAAACAGCTGTATGATGTACCATCAATGTCGAGTCCTAGAAGGACGAAACAGTTGTATGATGTACCATCAATGTCGAGTCCTAGAAGGACGAAACAGCTGTATGATGTACCATCAATGTCGAGTCCTAGAAGGACGAAACAGCTGTATGATGTACCATCAATGTCGAGTCCTAGAAGGACGAAACAGTTGTATGATGCAATATAATTCATTGGTTGATTCTACTGTATCTAATTCTGAATTTGTTTTAACAGGTACCATTCAATTGAGTTTCTTTTGTGTAATCTTTCTAGCACCAGACAGTGAGGGAAGGGGTTAAAACGTGGACACTTTACAAAGCGCGGAAACCAAACAAAGCTGTAATTTGTTGTTGACTATTTGATAAGTTCTCCACATTACCACTTTTTGAATGTTAAACAAGACTGCTTCAAATTCAAAGGAGACGTAGACCACTATTTCATGGACATCCCAAAACGTGCACACGATCACAGAATTTACATATTAAACCATACATTTCAAGAATTTTTAGATTTTGATTAAATCCGTATTAAAGGGTGTTTCTTCTGTACAAACTTCCATGTCTATAGAACCATCACGTTATGATACACTACATTAAAGTAAAATTGACGTCTTGTTGTTATCACCATCTTCTATAACATTTTATAAAGTTTGCTGTAAGTAAAAGCATTGTTGTTGATACATAATAGAAATATGTCGGTTGTTCATTCGTTGTTTGAGACCAAGGCTAAAAGTAACAAAGATTTGAATTATATCAACTTACATTCATAAACGTAATTTTTACCTTAAAATGATGATTTCATACAATTTGTTAATTTCGTGACAGTTTTTAGTAGATTAGGAACACATATACGACGAAATTGTCGGCGGTGTGTTGTTATTTTAATATAGAAAATATTATGTAACATTTAAATCAAAATCAGCTGTAATGAAAAAAATGAGTAACTCTGTCATTGTTAGTGATGTTGAAATTTTATCACTTTTCTCGACATCGCTGATCATAAAATTATTGATTTGTCAGAATTGTGTCATTTAATTAATTGGCACTGACAGAATCGACAGTAACCTTGAGGACATCTGACCCCTCCCCACCCCAATTACAGAATAAGATGGAGGGATTCACTATGCATCACGACATGCTTTACCAACAATTATAAATATTGATTTCGGGATATGGGGTCGGATATTTCGAATACTACCGTAACTGCTGATTGTTGTTACACTTCAAGTAGAAACCAATAATCTGCTGCTGAATACTATCTCTGTATAAAAGCCTGCTATACACAGAAATCCATTTGTTAATTCATCTTATAGCAATAGACTACAAAGATATTGTAGTTGTAACAAAACTATAAAGTAACGCCACTTCAGCTTTAAGTTTACATAAAATGACTCATATCGAGAGGATGGCCACCAAATATTCCACAAAAAAACTACAACGTCATCGAAAAGAACAACTACCTTTAATAACGCTTTTTCTGTAAATAGCTGTGTAAATGGCGTCAACGATCGTTCCGACAGCTAGTCACATCCTATAAAAAACATGTCAGATGATGGAGTCTTCCGAGTGGTATTTTAAAGTGTAATCACACCGAAATAGCTTGGTGTATGTAAAATAATACAACACTCACATCGGATATACGGATTAGTGGCTTACCCTTCCCTGCTGTCGAGCAGAGGGCGTCGAATTCCAATTTCAAAAGACTGTGGATTGTACAGAACCCATAACCTTCGCCAAAGTGGAAAATGAATGGCACACTAACTAGTATTGAACCTCGTTATCTCGAAATCGTGTAACTCGCAGACCTCGTTTACTTTGAAGAAGTTAGATTGTCCAAGTCAACCTTCATACCAAATATTCCAATTCGATTGACTTAAATACACGGATAACTCGAAGGTTACCCACAGATCCACAGACTTCGAGATAACGTCATGAGTACAAATTAATAACAATCCCTTGTTATAAAGTTTCATTCTGATCAATGTTAGTTTACAAATGTTATTCCTGAGTGTGATGCCATAAGGACATAATAATTATGTCTTATCAATCTTCAATTATGCTATGCTTTGTTATAAGGATAATTATCATCGAAACGAAACAAAACAATACTAAAAAAATCGAGAATCTTTTATTTAATGCTAAGTAACCAAACAAACATGCATTGTACGTGTTTACATTGCTGTAGATTGTGTGACGTTAACGTCGCCTTAACGACGAAGATGCTATGTCATTTCTGAGTATAAAGCAGCATACATTGTTTATAGAAATTGATTGTGAAACACTATATTATATGAGCATGCCATTTTAATTCTTATTTCTTCTTTTTTTTTGTTTTGTTTGTTTCAGTTAAAATCTGGAAAATGTGCTGTAATTATAACATCGAACATAGAAACGTCTTACGATCGAAATAAATGAGAACATACATCATTCTCGATATCTTGCGATGAAAGCTAAATATCCATGAATGTCAATAAAATCCTAACGAAAATGCATCATTATCACCTGGTAAGGATAAGGTCTGTAGCAGTAAACCGACTTGTCCATGTAGCAAAGGAAAAACTATTCCACGTGCTAGAGGCAGTGATCCTGTTTACACAGACTTTGACCATGAAAAATGTATACATGTCGTACGGATTCTCAATCTTATCTCAATTTATAAAATTACATTCAGATATAATTTTTAAAAATCACCTTAAAAACATTGCTAATTAAACTAATTAAATTTTTTTTTTGAGTAAGGCAATTTCCACAAGAGAACGAAATCCATTTATCAGAGCGCAATCTGTATAAACCACGCCGCTTCAGTTAACACTGGTTCTATCGTAGGCATTGTTATCTAATACTGTCCTCCTGGAAATGTCTTAGCGTCGTCAATGTGTCAAGAGAAGATACGTACTTCATGTCAACTGATTTGTGTTGGACGGTTACCAGTTGTTTAAAAGTATGATCAACTTCAGGAATTCATATAACAATCTTGAAACATATATTTTTATATGTCTTAAGTTTTACAAATATTGATAATGTTTACGGTATAAAAATATATTGTACGTCGACACAGCAGTTAAAATTATACTATCAGTATTTGTAAAATCGGACCGAAAGAAAAGATTAAACATATGTTTTTTAATGCTAAGCAGACTTAAAGCTATTGCGCCCGGACAGAATAAATGGCTTCATACACGACATACACAACGTTGAAGGCGTGTCGGTACCGTCATATGGATAAAAAGTGTAACATTTCACAGGAAGGCCAAGATTATCTTAGAAGTGCTAGACATACTATCTACACATTTAAATAGATATTGAACTTTTCTATGGCACTACACAGGCAGATATCAGTCACAAGGATCAACGTACCTACATCTAGCAATGCCAGAATGTAAAGATGTTTGATGTCTTGGTTGATTCTGTGTAAATCTGGACCTATATATCTTTAATCAATATGTCTAACATTTTCCAAGTAAAAATATCAAGAAAAAAATATTCATATTGATTACTTAATTGTATAAGATAATTTTGGGCTGATTGTTACTGACCGTAATGTTTAGGAGATTGTTTTTTTCTTTCTAACAGAGTGAAATTGAAGCACACTTACCATGTATGCACTGTTTTGATGAATTCAGGGCCAAAACTGTCCATACCGAGAGATCCCAGAGAAAACAGACTATAAAAATGAAATTCTGCATGTTATTTAGTGAATCTGGAACAGAACACGGATGGAACTGTTAAAACCAGAGCAACACTACACTGCAACTGGATATCAGCACCTAGCACAAAACACAAAATGTTTGACACGAGTGGAATCCATTAGCACACATTGACTTATCCACCTAACTCATCTTCTGGTATGTTTAAGCAAGCCTACCACCAACAAAACGTCTGGAGTAATTCCGGGTTATTATCCTGAGTCTTTAAGCCGACACCACATCCGCAAATGAGCGCGAGAATTAGCTTTCCGAACAGCACTGTATTGATTAGTCACTAAGTGTTCAATGTTGCGAATCCGAATAGACAGTAACTAACATACATAGCGCGTTCTCTGATTCCAAAGGGAGAGTGGTCCTGTCATGCTCCGATCATTCCTAGCGATGGAGATCCCTACATTAAACAGATAGTCACGTTATTACTGGAGAAATTGGATTTTCCATGTAAATTCAAAGTTGTCTGACAGACCGATTGCAGTTTTTCTCCAATCAATAACGTAACTCAATGGGTTTTTTTGCTAAACAGTACAAAACCCTTGCAGTATGGTGGCTTCGAGACCGTCGTTCAAGGGCTTGCTGGTTTGTACGACTCTCGTATTCTTCAGAGTACTGTTTTGTCAACCTAACTGACTTAACGTGCTAACGGGGAGTCGTACTTCAGTTTCATATAGAATACATCACATCTAATTAGATATTAAAAATCAATACAGTGAATTTGTCAAGATTAGTCGCTAACTTGAATTAAATTGAAGTCAGAGGTGTCTGTTAAGTGCTGTGATCATATCACTCACTAAAAGGCCCTCACATTAGTAATAGTAAAAAAAAAGTACAAAAAAACATCTTCTGGAGATAACTACAAAATACACCAGCATATATGTCCAACCTGGTGATATCGTGCAGGAAGCAAAAATATCATTCGGAAACTTCTCGACGTTGTTGAGTAATTACCGCTGACCGCCTATATACTGTCTATTCGGAGCAGATTTCCGAGTACGAATGTCCCCTATGTAGGCTCCATCTCGTGATTCTCTACAAAGGTGATGACCCGTATTTTTCAATCTTGTCCACATTGGATGTGATGGTTTATCTCCCTTGACATAAGGGATCTATTACGGTGTCTGCTGCCGAATGATGCCAACGCAGCAAAGCCACGCAGTCAATTTCCTGTCATTGAGCAGACGACACGAGCGATTTCGGGGGTATGATAAAACGACATTTACACAGACGGGTAATAATACACACGCACATAGAGCTAACAGAGGTCAAAGCACCAGTGAAGTATCGATTCAAGCTGGGACAAATTTGAGACGGAGGTGTCAATATCCTGGAAACCATTTCCAATGATTTATACAATTAGAAACAATATTATCTATAAATAGATTGAACGAATACAAGCAAATAATATATTGTTTTCCAGGGGTTTAAATTTGCTACCATCTAGACAGTAAGACCACATCTAGACGGTAAGACCACATCTAGACAGTAAGACCACATCTAGACAGTAAGACAACATCTAGACAGTGAAACCACATCTAGACTGTAAGACCACATTTAGATAGTAAGACCTCATCTAGAAAGTTTGACCACATCTAGACAGTAAGACAATATCTAGATAGTAAGATCACATCTAGACAGTAAGACTACATCAAGAAAGTTACACCACATGTAGACAGTAAGACCACATTTAGACAGTAAGACCACATCTATACAGTTAGACCACATCTAGAGAGTAAGACGACATCTAGACTATAAGACCTCATCTAGACAGTAAGACCACATCTAGACGGTAAGACCACATCTAGACAGTAAGACCACATCTAGACAGTAAGACATCTAGACAGTAAGACAATATCTAGACAGTTAGACAACATCTAGACAGTAAGACCACATCAAGACAGTAAGACCACATCTAGACAGTGAAACCACATCTAGACTGTAAGACCACATTTAGATAGTAAGACCTCATCTAGAAAGTTTGACCACATCTAGACAGTAAGACAACATCTAGATAGTAAGATCACATCTAGACAGTAAGACTACATCAAGAAAGTTACACCACATGTAGACAGTAAGACCACATTTAGACAGTAGGACCACATCTAGACAGTTAGACCACATCTAGAGAGTAAGACGACATCTAGACTATAAGACCTCATCTAGACAGTAAGACCACATCTAGACGGTAAGACCACATCTAGACAGTAAGACCACATCTAGACAGTAAGACATCTAGACAGTAAGACAATATCTAGACAGTTAGACAACATCTAGACAGTAAGACCACATCAAGACAGTTAAGCCACATCTAGACAGTAAGACCACATCTAGACAGTAAGACCACATCTAGACAGTAAGACAACATCTAGACAGTAAGACCACATCAAGACAGTAAAACCACATCTAGACAGTAAGACATCTAGACAGTAAGACCACATCTAGACAGTAAGACAATATCTAGACAATAAAACATCTAGACAGTAAGACAACATCTAGACAGTAAGACCACATCAAGACAGTAAGACCACATCTAGACAGTAAGACATCTAGACAGTAAGACCACATATAGACAGTAAGACAATATCTAGACAGTTAGACAACATCTAGACAGTAAGACCACATCAAGACAGTTAAGCCACATCTAGACAGTAAGACCACATCTAGACAGTTAGACCACATATAGACAGTAAAACCACATCTAGACTGTAAGACCACATCTAGACAGTAAGACATCTAGACAGTAAGACAATATCTAGACAGACAACATCTAGACAGTGAGACCACATCAAGACAGTAAGACTACATCTAGACAGTTAGACCTCCTCTAGACCGTAAGACCACATTTAGACAGCAAGGCAACATGTAAACATTCAGACCTCATCTAGACAGCAAATAAGACAATAAGACTATATATATACCTTTACTATCAGATATATTGGAGTAGGTTATCACAATTTCGAGTCCATGACTTCCGGAATTCCCTGAAATCACTGTTATGGTGGCCAATGATACTTAAGTGTCTTGTGTATCCACTGATCAGCAATAAAACTGGTCTGACCTTCACGTAATAAGATATGGTATTTTGTCTATTTTATGATCACTTGTTCGCAGTTTAATTAAAATAAGATAACATGAAGAGCGAGTTCATCCTTCTAAATCCCATTTTAAATTCTCGCATCAAGTGAAGTATTGAATTTGCTGGAAGAGTTCAGAATTCGAATGTATTTCAATCGATTTTATGTAGCTTCCCGACACGTGTTTCTGGGTAAGCTGTATGGTCCCTGTCTCAGTATATATATAGCTTTCTATTCATGACTTGTACGTTGACAAATTGAAACTATTTGTCTTCCAGAATAGGCATATCAAAAATTTGAAATAATTTGTCCACAAGTGTAAACATTTTAAACCGATTTGTCATCAAGTGTTAACATGTTAATACTTTAAACCGATTTGTCATCAAGTGTAAACATGTTAATACTTTGAACCGATTCGTCCTCAAGTGTAAACATGTTAATACTTTACACCATTTGTCCTCAAGTATAAACATGTTTGCACTTTAAACCGATTCGTCCTCAAGTGTTAACATGTTAATACTTTAAACCAATTCATCCTCAAGTGTAAACATATTTGCACTTTACACCATTCGTCCTCAAGTGTTAATATGTTTGCACTTTAAAATGATTCGTCCTCAAGTGTCCTTGTCTGATGTAGTTGTGGTATATTTCGTCCTTGTCTGTTCTGGATGTGGTACATTTCGTCCTTGTCTGTTGTAGTTGTGGTATATTTCGTCCTTGTCTGATGTAGTTGTGGTACATTTCGTCCTTGTCTGTTGTAGTTGTGGTATATTTCGTACTTGTCTGTTGTAGTTGTGGTATATTTCGTCCTTGTCTGTTGTAGTTGTGGTATATTTCGTCCTTGTCTCTTGTAGTTGTGGTTCATTTCGTCTTTGTCTCTTGTAGTTGTGGTTCATTTCGTCTTTGTCTCTTGTAGTTGTGGTTCATTTCGTCCTTGTCTGTTGTAGATGTGGTATATTTCGTCCTTGTCTGTTGTAGTTGTGGTATATTTCGTCATTGTCTGTTGTAGTTGTGGTTCATTTCGTCCTTGTCTGTTGTAGTTGTTGTATATTTCGTCCATGTCTGTTGTAGTTGTGGTATATTTCGTCCTTGTCTGTTGTAGTTGTGGTATATTTCGTCCATGTCTGTTGTAGTTGTGGTTCATTTCGTCCTTGTCTGTTGTAGTTGTGGTATATTTCGTCCATGTCTGTTGTAGTTGTGGTATATTTCGTCCTTGTCTGTTGATGATGTGGTACATTTCGTCCTTGTCTGTTGTAGTTGTGGTACATTTCGTCCTTGTCTGTTGTAGTTGTGGTATATTTCGTCCTTGTCTGTTGTGGTTGTGGTACATTTCGTCCTTGTCTGTTGATGATGTGGTATATTTCGTCCTTGTCTGTTGTAGTTGTGGTACATTTCGTCCTTGTCTGTTGATGATGTGGTATATTTCGTCCTTGTCTGTTGTAGTTGTGGTACATTTCGTCCTTGTCTGTTGATGATGTGGTACATTTCGTCCCTGTCTGTTGTAGTTGTGGTATATTTTGTCCTTGAATCTGAAGACGTAGTATATTTCATCCGTGTTATGGTATTTGCTCTAGTATTTGAGGATTAGTTGTTCGTTGTTCAAGGCAGATTTTGTCCATGGATTGAGGATCTGTGCGCTTTGTCCTTGAAGTTGATGAAGATTTGTTCATTTAGTGTAGGATTGTATATATTTTGTCTTTGACGTTGATTTTTTGTTGTATTTTTCATGTTAAGTTGAGGATTTGATGAATGTTGTTTTTGGCATTGAGAATTTGGTCTATTGGGTCAGACTGTGTCATTTGCCCTAAATTGATGTTTTCTCCAAATCCTTCAACAATTTTTTTGTCAGTTTTATACGATCGAAAAGTTACCCTATAGCGATCTAGAACACACAGTAAATAAACCCTAGTC